TTGAGGTCGTGGGGCTTGAACTCTGGGCCTGAGCACTGTCCCTCAGTTCTTCAGCTCAAAGCTAGTTCTCTACCACTTGAGCTACAGCACCACTTCCGGTTTTCTGGTAATTTATTGGAGATAAGAGTTTCATGGATTTTCCTGCCTGGGCTGGGTTTGAACCATGATCCTCAGATCTCAGCCTCCTGAGTAGCTAGGATTATAGGTGTGAGCTACCGGTGCCCAGCTAATATTCATTCCTCCTCCTCCTCCTCCTCCTCCTTCTTTTTTGTCGGTCATGGGGCTTAAACTCTGGGCTTGGGCACTATCCCTCAGCTCTTCAGCTTAAGGCAAGCACTCTACCGCTTGAGCCACTTCCCTGGCATGTCTTTGAAGAAGGAAACATGGACAAAGTACATTGACGTATGTCCCTGTATTGTTCCTGACGAGGAAAGTGATTAATTCTAGGTCCTTGGAGGGATGGAAGATGCCAGAAAGAGGGTGGGGAGGAGGTAGGGAAAAGTAAGGCAAGGAAACAGCCTGTTTGAAATCAGCTATCATCATACCTCAGTCAGGTACCATAATACTGGGAATGAATGGTATATTCCTTGTCACCGTTGCATTTTCTGAAGGCAGCTGGCAAGCAAGGACCATCATTTCTCTATCCTCTTCCCACATGCATGGGACTTGTATCAATTTTCTTTTGCTATGTTGAATATCTGACATAACCAACATATAAAAAAATTATTGGGAGATGGGCGCTGGTGGCTCATGCCTATAATCCTAGCTACTCAGGAGGCTGAGATCTGAGGATCACGGTTCAAAGCTAGCCCAGGCAGGAAAGTTCGTGAAACTCTTATCTCCAATAAGCCCGCTAGAAAACTGGAAGTGGTGCTGTGGCTCAGGCTCAAGCAGTAGAGTGCTTGCTTTGAGCTGAAGAGCACAAGGACAGCGCCCAAGCCCAGAGTTCAAGCCCCATGACAAAAAAAAAAAAAAAATTATTGGGGCTGGGTCTGTGGCTTAGTGGTAGAGTGCTAGCCTAGCATGCATGAAGCCCTAGGTTCAATTCCTCAGTACCACATAAACAGAAAAAGCCAGAAGTGGCCCTGTGGCTCAAGTGGTAGAGTGCTAGCCTTGAGCAAAAGAAGCTTAGGCCAGTGTCCAGATCCTGAGTTCAGGCCTCAGGACAAGTACCAAAAAAATTATTTAATACACACACCAAGAAGCAAGAACTTAACTCAGGTCCTTGCACTAATTAGGCAGGTTATTTTTTCTATATTTTAAAATTGTTACTATAAAAGTGATGTACAGAGATGTTATAGTTACAAAAGTCAGGTAAAGAGTACATTTTTTTTTGTTGTTGATGTTGGTAGTCCTGGGGCTTGGGTGCTGTCTTTGAGCTCTTTTTTTGGGGGGGGGATCCGGTTGTGGGGCCTGAACTCTGGGCCTGGGCGCTGTCCCTCAGCTCTTCAGCTCAAGGCTAGTGCTCTACCACTTGAGCCACAGCGCCACTTCTGGCCTTTTTTCTTTTTGCTTATGTGGTGCTGAGGAATCGAACCCAGGGCCTCAGGCATGCAAGTCAAGCGCCTTGAGTTCTTTTGTTCAGGGCTAGTGCTCTGCCACTTTGAGCCACAGCATCACTTGTGTTTTCTGGTGGTTAATTGGGAGATAATAGTCTCAGGGATTTTCCTGCCTGGCTCGCTTTGAAATGCAATCCTCAGATCTCAGTCGCCTGAGTAGCTAGGATTGCAAGTGTGAGCCACCAGTGTTCAGCAAGGGTACATTTCTTTTTGGACAATGCCATCCATTGCCTGGTTATTGAGACAGAGTCTTGCTTCCTTCCTGGGTGCATGTCTGGACCACAGTTCACCTGTTTTTTGCTTCCCGTGAAGTTCCGATGATAGCTAGGTACCACTGTGTTCCACTACTACTTGTTGTGTGTGGACTGGTCTCCAAATGAGATCTTCCTTATCTCAGCCTCCCAAATAGCTAGGATTGAAGAATATGAGCCACTGGTGTCTGGCTATTAGGAGCCTTTTATTGGGCATAATATTACAACATGAAATGGCACCCAAGAGGGTGTTTCCTGGTTTGCTCCAAAGAGACACCCTGAAAAGGGATACCCAGAAAAGGAATGTGGCAAGGGTGTTTTTTTGTTTGTTTTTTTTTGCCAGTCCTGGGGCTTGAACCCTGGGCCTGGGCACTGTCTTGAGCTTCTTTTGCTCAAGATTATACTGTACCACTTTGAGCCACAGCACCACTTCCGGCTCTTTCCGTGTATGTGGTGCTAAGGAATCAAACCCAGGGCTTCATGCATGTGAGGCAAGCACTCTACCACTGAGCCACATTCCCAGCCCGTGGCAAGGGTGTTTGCATCAACCACAACACAGTCCTTCATGCAAGTAAGGACTTTGTACTAATCACAAGCCTCCTGCTGGACTACCAGACCCCTCTGGTCTGAGTGAACAGTGAATGTGGCAGGTAGGGTTCCCTACAGCTTGCGATAGCAAACCATGCAGAATAAGCCGTGTGAAAGTCATTACCAGGACCATGCATCCCGGATCTGGAGTTGTTTCTGCAAGTTGCAGTGTTGCCTCCTCAAGGTGTCCACAAAGTGTTCGTATCAGCCAGTGCTGACTGAGGTGGCCCAGCCAGCTGCCAGAGTGGTTGCTTGGTGGATAGTTGTTCCTTACTAGGCACCAGGAAAAGGTCTAAACAGCTACCAATTTAGGAGTTGAATTGTCCTGGCCCCCAACATCTTAGCTTATTATGACCCTCCCCCCCAAAAAATGATGTTTATAATGAAAGCCTATCACCATTATGAACATTGCTGTAAGTGCTGTACTTTGAAAATTCCTAGCATAAGTATGTCATTTTATCTCTCTCATTTGGATAGACTCATGTCCAGCCTGTCCCCTGCCAGGGTCCTCTGGCCTGGCTCCTAGGTTGGACATCAGGTGAGGAAGCTACTGCTTTCCTTGGGGAAACACTGGGAATCCGGGCATAGAGAGCACTGGTGGAGAAGCAGCAGGAGTCTCCATCCCTCCTTGGGTGTCCAGTACATTTTTTGCACACACACCACCTGCTTTCCCTGCCCTCTGTAGTGTAAGGCTCCCAACTCCAGCGTGCATACAGGCTCTCATGGGCACATCTATACCTGGACCCCTTTTCTTGTGTGTGCACTTTGGAACTCCTCTATGCACCAACACATGTGTATGTCAAGGACATATGTGAGCACATATGTGTGTGCGTATACTCTTCACACAGCAATATGCACAAACATGATTTCCTCTTTCACATGTACATACAGGCAGGAACACATGTGGCTTGCACTCTAAATGCATGCACACACACGTGCACACGTGTAGAGGCGTGCACACGCTCATAGAAGTGAACACATAGGACGACACGTGTGCACACGTGGAGTGTGCACACAGAAGCATGCATGTGCACGCAGAGGAACACACACACCGGTGCTTGTACAAGCGCGCGAGCACGCACCAGCAGGCACAAAACGCGGGTGCTGAAGCCTGGACACCGCGCCTGGAGCAGACGCGCAGGCGCAGGCCCCTCCCCTGCCCCAGGGCGGGCAGCCCAAGCGGGAGGAAAGAGCCGGGTCCAGGGGGAGGGGGAGGGGAAGGGGGTGGGGGAGAGGGGAGGAGGAGGGCCGCGAAGGCGCGAAAAGGAGCGCAGGCGCGCTGCGCAGAGCGGGCCCGCCGCCGCCCACGTCACCG